TGAGTAAAGGTAACATCTCTCCCGCAAACGTCATTTATTACACTATGCAATACAAAAAAACATGCTCTGGCTACTTCTCGAAAAATACACCAGGCTGGGCAGCGTTACATAATAAATTAAAGATGTCGTGCCAACTCGTCAGGTGTCTCTAACGTACACTGTTTTGGCAATCAAAACAAGAAAGTTATTTCTCTCACCCTTCCTCACCAAGTCGCTGCCAACGTAGTTCCATAGGTCTGTCAAAGCGAGCCCCAAACAATAGGAAGGAAGCCGCCATCTTCGTTGTTCCCTGAAGATGTCTATCTCATCGTGTTTTTGTGACGGCCTCTGATATTTGAGAGTGGTGTATTTTTGTGGGAAAATTTCTCTGGAGCCTTTTTTGGCGCTAAGCGCAGTGCCGTCCATGACATGGCGTATTTTTGAACTATCGAAGAACAAACAAGCCTCTGCCCCACTACCCTTCTTCGTCTCTTCAGTTCATTGATTGGTTAGTAAAAAGTTTATTGCTAGTCCGGCCGGGCCTTAGGGCTGCCGCATGGGGAGGTCAGCGCCTTGCCTCCCCGCCGCCTTGCAGGACTGCTGGACGGCTGAGGCTGGGGTTGCGCAAGGCAGTGGTCCACCGTGGCAGAATGGTTCTGGATTCGTGTCGTGCACGATTTTCTGCAGTCTTAAAGCAAGGTCGTACTCAGGGTCGGCAAAATAACTGTCAAATAAAGAGCCGAACGAACCAGCCGGCGGCTTTTTTTGCTCACCTCGTCAAACACGGCGCACCAGGCGTCCGCAGGCAGGAGAGAGGGTTGCCCAGTCGCCGATGGCCGAAGGTCTCGATGTGAACAGGGGAGCGAAGTGTGGCTGTGGTTGCAGGCTTTCAGCTCATGACACCGAAAAGTAGGAGAAGAAGATGTATGCAGAAATAAAAAAAAGCTGCGACTATGGTGAGGACGAAAAGGTGGTGGGGCATGTCCGCCGAAAATACATCGACGAGGCACGCGACAAACATTCTTAGAATTAACAAGCATGTGGTGCGCAGTGCATGTGACCCCCTCAGGTCTCTAATGAAGCAACTATGCAGCTTTCGAACTTGTACGACGTAAGAAGGTTGGTCCTTTGCAGACGCCATGGAAAGATACGGAATACGTTAATTTTTTACTAGAGAATACCTGATAATTGATTGATTGATGATGATAATTGATCCTTCCCCCCCTCCTCCTGTCTCAAATTGTACAAAAAGAAATGAATATCAGAAGCACGACTTTACTTGATTGATTGATTGATTGATTGATTTGTGGGGTTTAACGTCCCAAAACCACCATTTGATTATGAGAGACGCCGTAGTGGAGGGCTCCGGAAATTTTGACCACCTGGGGTTCTTTAACGTGCACCCAAATCTGAGTACACGGGCCTACAACATTTCCGCCTCCATCGGAAATGCAGCCAGCACGACTTTACTTAGCTCTTACTTTGTCCGCGGATGTGCTTTCACATTTTTGAGTGTCGTGAGAGCACTTGCGCCTCGACAAATGAGGACGCTTATGAATTATTGACGAAATATAAAAAACACGAAGATAGCCCTAAAAATAAGCAAAACATTTGTTCTATACAATAGGTATTGCAATTAAATGCTAAAAATTGACAACATTTGCATCGATTGTCACGCCTACGATAAGAGTCACTCCGCATCTCTCATTTCAAAAAGTGCACCAACAAAAGTTTCGGAGATACTGATAACTCACGAGTTGTGCGGACGAGTCTGCGAAGCAAGTAGGTGGAAAAGGGCGGAGTGGGCATGCGAGCGTATCTCCATACTTAAATTTTTTTTATAGATACCAGCTCGCACATCTTATCTACATCATATATAATATCAGAAGTGTACCATTGGTCTTGCAGCAGTACCACCTGTTGAACATTTTCTTACGATTTTTATGAGCGTCTTTCACTGAATATAATAGTGGAAACATACATTACGAGTTTTGTGAAGTCACGTGTAGTATATACCGACAAATCAATATGCTAGACGTCTTGTACTTTATGTTTTCAGTGCATGCTAAAGTACTCCACGTAATCTAACTTAGCCGAAGTGCTCAACTACAGCATCTTGCGTAAGCTGGGTCATTTTGGGATGTTAAATGCCCCAACAACAAAGTCAAACAGCATAGAGATGCCATTATTTATATAAAGGATGTTTGAAAAATGTACTTATTATTTATTTAAATTGATTAAATGTTATATAAATATATAAATATTATTTAAAAAGTACGCAAAGGAACCTTTTGCATCCTACCTGCGGCGATCCCTTTACTTTGGTAGAGAGCATCCTTCGATGTGGAGAAACCTTAATTACGAAAGTAACTATAAGAATTCTAACTATAAGAACTAAGAATTTTAACCAGTGGAAAAAGCCAGTTGAGTGAAAAAAGTGAATTGAAGTTCTTCCTGCGGATAGCCTATGCCGACTTAGAAATTTTGCAAAAGCGGGCACTGGTAATCATCACGCAGCGATGAAAAATAGGTAGTTTAGCTGGCAAAAAATTAGGGGATCTTAAAACTTTGTCTTTAGGAGTTGAACGCGGTTGCGATATTCTGCTCCAAGTGCGTATATCAAACAATGAGTGCATGAAACCTTCTCAAATTTTCTATGCACCCACTATACGTGGACTTATGAGAATAAGTGCAGTAGCGTGTGTGCCTTTAGTAGTGAGGTACCGGCTTTCAACCATGGTGCCATTATGATGATCACATATTGTGACTACCGTTAGCAATGGACGCTTTTACCACTGATTTTTACTTCAATATTTCCTGTTTCATTTGAAAGCGTGTATAAAGGACGCATGTTGATGTGAAACATGAAAGCTACTTGCACTGGGTTTTCAAGCAGAGGAAGTTCTTGTCATTGTTTTCAGAGGCAGAGGCGTGGACGTGTGGTAAAACATCCACTTGCCATGCAAACTACCTGGGTGTGATCGCCACTCGGACCCAAGCAACCCTGGATCTGTCCACACACTGCTCCAGAATTTTTTAAAAATTTATTGTATTTGCATCGATCTTGATTTTTCGGTCACACATAGGATGATAGTCTTTCGCTCACAACCAACGACGCCGACGCCAGCGTCGACATCAGACTTTCTGCGAAACAAGCTTTTTTTATCGCATTAAAGCCAAAACCGACTCACCAAACAGCTTATCTGCCACTGACTTCGATAACACCTTTAAGGAATAGTAATTGTTTTAAACTGTGTAGAAAGTTGATTGTTTTGATATCTTTAATTACAGTCATAAGTAATGTCTGCACACATCTGAACATGCCTTCTTCAAAAGTAAAGGAAACGCCGCGGGTAGCACGCAGGTGCCGCCATTGTGTAATTTTCAAATAATATTGGACACATTTTTTGAAACACTCTGTAGCCGGGCCTAATACGAGCCTGAATCAGACCAGGGCCCAACCCGAACCCGAAGCTCATGGGCCCAAGCCCGTCCAGGGCCCGATCCACTAATGCCTTACTCGGCCCGACCCAGCCCGCGGGCCGGCCTAGGCTCGTTCAATGCTCTATGTGCGTTCTCTCATCCTCTCTATCCTCTCTTACGTTCCCCCTTCTCGCCTCGCAATGCCACTGCAGGGAGAGTCTGCTAGCGAGTTTCTTGATCGAAAAAAAAAAACTTATGGCTCGCGCTGCACAACACCTCACAAATCTTTCTCGTAATCTTGTGCGAGTAATGGAACAACACCATGGTGCCTGTGAAATCAGCGGGGCACCGGCAGTTCCTGCAATGCATGCCACGGTGGTGGGAAATGCAAGATCTTTAGCCTAACTGTGTTCCCATGTTCATTAGGGCGCAGATTCAAACATCTGCCCATCAGAGCAGTGTAAACGCCGATACATGATAACGGAATGCTGTGCACGAATACCTAGGCGCAATGAACGTGTCTGTAAGCGTGGTTAATGGTTCATATTGGACTCAATTTAGAAGCTGTGGAGATAGGTTTTATAAAGGCTTACTCTACGAAGTGACCGGGAAGGAACGCAATGCTCTCAAGTGCCGTTGCGCACAAATGCGCTACGGCTAGGTTTGTCGACCCAACTAGGCATGTATTGCAGAGACTGCGGGCACTCCGTGGGTTTCCCAGGCACCCTGGTTTTACACACACACGAGAGACATTTGTGAGGCGTTCTACATGAAATAATGTCACAAATGTTTGAGCCGGGCGTCTCTTGCACTAACACATGAAGAGGTATTGATTATGGGCCACACCGCCGAGCGCCTTTCACGTTCCAGCAGATATGTTTTATCAACTCGCCTTGTTGTTAGGCTTTGAAATTACGTGCGCCTTATATCGTCCCGTTATGTTTTTTGAGCAGTGATGCATTCATGATACTGTCTGATTTATTTTGTTATCCTTGATTAAACTTTATTTGAAAGGATGCACCTATCTGTTTTTTTTCTCTTTGTCCTCGTAGTCAGTGCGTGATCTCTGGCAAAAATGAAAAGCGCCTTCTTGTAATATAAGAGCATAAGACGGGTTTGGCACCCGCACATTTTCTTATTCGCAAGATATCATTTCCACCTTCAAAATACTTAACATTTTCAACTTTAGTACACATGGCACGTTGACATGTAGTCACCTGTATTGCGATAACAATATCGATAATTTCAGGGGGATTTTCACCATCATTGTGACCATCGCTGTAAGCTCTTTTTCAAATTCAAGTGCGACAAGCTTTCATGTACCACCAGCTAGACTTTGTGCTAAATTATTGATGCCATTATTAAAAAAAATGCGAGTGTAAAGAAATAGCTCACAAGAAGCTAACTGATAGGTCATTGGCAAAAAAAAACATCTTAACAGTGTGTGGCCAATTCATTGAGTTCTTCTTTCATTTAAGGGTGTATATAGGAATGATCTGGGTGGGTCCTGATTCGTATTGTGACGAATCGATAAATGTGAAGTGATTCCTGCAAATAGAAAAAAAAAACGGAAACTATTGTTATGGACCCTTTTACAGGTGGGCCACTTTATGTGATCGTGGAGTACGCGCAACTTGGATCTCTGCTAAATGTGCTGCGACGTAGCCGGCACATGGCCGGAGGGGGTGCTGACGTGACAGTTGTCTGCAACCCAACGTACATGGCTCAAGAACCGTCCCTGAGGGCCCTGGAAGAGAATGCTGAGGATCCTGTTCTGGGGCCTGAAATACCCAGTTTCAGTGATCTGATTTCTTTCGCTTATCAAATAGCGAAAGGAATGGCATACTTGGCGGACATGAAGGTTTGTTCATTTATCTGAGGTTATGTTCAAGTGTTCCTTGTGTACGCGCACGTGACTATGCGACATGAACATGAGACCATGCAGTTTACAGCAATAAATTACAGGTTAAAGAATAATACCCTCTGTAGCATTGGCTTTTATTCTGAAGACACTGCGCGCTCACATTCACTTCTACGCATGCCTAATGATTGTCAAGTGTGCGCAAAAAGTAAGGAAAGGCTAATATAAAACACTGAATAAGGTTGCGGGGACCGTGAAATCACTCCTCAGAAGCTACTATGCACCTATTTCGCAAAGCTCAGCTAGAACGAAGCACAGTATGCGCAATGTAAACGCGAATCTCAGTTTACGAGCATTTTTCTATGCCCCCTCAGTTGATGAAAGGTCAGCAAGCAAACGCAAATTAATACGTTTTTCGTGAAAACACTGAAATCACTTAAATGCTGTGGCATGCGTGCACAAAAAGCCTACAAAGTTTCTAAATGAGTACTTGTTCTTTTCGGAATCAGCAATACATTAGTATCCACCATTCACTGGCGTCTTGCATCAATCGAAATTTTTGCATTTACCATAGCATTTTCTGTGTTCATGATATACCGAGTGTTCGAAGTTAAGGTTTACGGTTTTATTAAAATTCAGCACTGGGAAGAACATGAAAACTACTTTCGAGAGAAGTTAAGTATCCAGGGGGACACAAGGTGATACAACAATTCTAAATTTCACTGGCACAAACAAATAAGAGTTACTAATTACCTTTTCAGTGACAGCAGTATGAATACTTGTATTAAAATTTGGAATCCATCATGTTTTTTTCTGTTGCACGTAGAAGAATCCATCCAGCATATCTGTACTGCGGGATGTCTCACGCTAAGTTTCAGTTGGGCTTTGCATTATTACGCATGCAAGGCGGTGAAGATCGGTGATGAAATGTGCCTGGCCGATGTGACAGACAGTCATAGCTTGCTATATATTAGCGGCAGTAAAAGAGTAACCGTTATCATCTTTGCCAATGTCTTCAATCCTTTGTTAGAATAAATGACGTACGCAACTGCCGAGGCCCTTCGTAGAGGAGCTTTGCAAACTGCCTTGAATGTGTAATCATGCAAAGCACAATAAAACTTTGGCACGGGGGAACTCAGAGCAGTGACATTCTATAAGAACTATTTCAGGTGTAACTGTGTATAAATGCGGTTACCTTCAACTTTCCAATATATATGTGCCCGATTTCGGCCGTCCTTGAAAAATTACTCATTGAGTTTAAGGTAATTGGGCCACTCAGAGCCAGAAGCCAGAATAACTGTATCACGTTGTGTCCCCCTGGGTACTGATGTTATCTGAACTGCTTTTCATTTTCTTCCCAATGCTGAATTTTTGAGAATGAAAGCCTAATTTCGAACACCCAGTATATATATATATATATATATATATATATATATATATATATATATATATATATATATATATATATATATATATATATATATATATATATATATATATATATATATATATATATATATATATATTGTTCAGGCGTTTACGTAGCTGGCAAACAGCGATCATACGCTATTGAGCGCGAGCGGCGTCCTTTTGGGTAGCCCCGCTAGAAAGCACTCGGGAGTTAGACCCCTTTCAGAGTTCGGAGTCTACCTCGGGGGTCAAAGTTTCGATCAGATAGTTGACCGGAGATGTGCGCTCGATCACACGGTAGGGGCCTTCGTATTTCGGGAGTAGTATGGAAGAGAGGCCAGCTACAGAGGTCGGGATCGAGAGCCATACAAGCGCACCAGGAAGAAACGTGAGCTCAGAAGCGGCGTAGCCACCATAAATAGACTCTCTTGCTTATGCGTCGTAAAAGTCTTGGCAAGCTCGCGACACTCTTCAGCAAGCCTGGCTGTCTCACAAATAGGTGCACAATCAGATGGATCCGGCGTGTACGGGAGTACCGTGCCGATGGTATGCGGTGGGTTCCTTCGGTACAGCAAGAAGAAAAGAGAAAAAGCGGTCGTGCGCTGAGGGGTGGTGTTGTAGGCGTAAAGTTGACGAAGGGCAGTATAGTATCCCCATTCATGTGGTTTGCGATGACGTCCATCCAAAACATGTCTCTGAGGGTGCGGTTGAAGCGTTCGGTGAGGTCATTCATCTGCGAGTGCGTGGTAAGCAGTAGTTTTACGGTAGACAGAATGGTATTCCGTGAGAGTGGCTGTGACGACTTTCTACAAGACGCGGCCTCGATCGCTGAGAAGCTCTTGGGGTGAACCATGGCGCAGTATGAATCGATGCAGTAGAAAGGACGCAACATCGCCCGCAGTAGCCGGAGGGAGAGCAGTGGTCTCGGCGTATTGCATTAAATGATCTACAGTGACGATAGCCCAGCAGTTACTAACCGACGTCAGAGGAAGTGGTTCATACAAATCGATACCTATGTGCCCAAATGAACGGTCAGGGCAAGGTATTGGTTGCAGACCAGCTGGCGACATTGTGCTGACGGTTTGCGGCTTTAGCAAGTGAGGCAGGAGTAAACAAACTGCTGCACGTAGCGGTACATCCCGCACCAAAAGTAGCATTGTCGAATGCGGTGGTAGGTTTTAGATACCCCATAGTGCGCGCATTGCGGATCAGAATGAAAAGATTCACATATCTCCGACCGCAGACTACTGGACATCACGAGTAACCACTGCCGCCCATTGGCGTCGTAATTGCGTCGGTGCCGAAGGTCATCACGGATGACGAAATGGTAAGCTCGATGACGCAAGGTGCACGTGGATGATGTTTCGGACGGATCAGAGAGCAACTCAATCAGCGGGGCGATCCAATTATCATATCGCTGTTTGGTAGCAATCATATCGACATCAATGGCAGAAGCAGCAATTGAGGATACTGAGCAGGGCACGTAGTCTTTAGGCAGAGGGGAGGGCGAGAGGGCGTCGGCGTCAGCATGCTGGCGTCCGTTTCGGTACAGCACGCGGATGTCGTAGTCTTGTAAGCGAAGAGCCCAACGGGCGAGACGGCCTGAGGGATCCTTCGATGATGACAGCCAGCATAGTGCATGATGGTCGGGGACGACATCGAATGGGTGACCACACACATAAGGTCCAAACTTTGTAAGGGCCCAGACAATCGCCATGTACTCTTCTTCCGTGACGGGGTAGTTTGTCTCGGCTCTCGTGAGCGTACGGCTTGCATATGCCACGACATACTCAGGGAACCGGGATTGGCGCTTCACCAGGACACTGCCGAGGCCTACACCGCTGGCGTCCATGTGCACCTTCATTGGGGCCGTAGGGTCGTACCGGCGTAAAATGGGAAGAGACGTCAACAAATGGCGGAGCTTTGCGAACGCGTCGTCGCACTTGGACGACTGTAAATTGAGCGTCCCGTTACTTCCAAGGAGCTTCGGCACGAGTGATACGATCGTGAAAAAGTGTCCAATGAAGCGTCAAAAGCATGAGAACAGGCCCACGACACTACGCAGTTCTTTCACGGACGCAGATTTGGGGAATGCGGCCGTAGCCTGAAGCTTGGCCGCATCAGAAAGAATGCCGTCCTTGGACACGATGTACCCTCCTTGGACACGATTTGCCGTGCTGCAAAGCGGCTATTATTTAGATTTAGTTGCAAGCCGGCATTGCTCACAATTGCGAAAACGTCTTTCAGACGTTGGAGATGCGTGGAGAAATCCGGAGCGAAGACAACGACGTCATCGAGGTAACACCAGCACGTGTGCCAGTTCAAGTTGCGCAGAATGATGTCTATCATGTGCTCGAAGGTCGCAGGTGCATGCATTACCCAATGGCATGACCAAATGACTAAATGGCATGACGTTGAATTTGTACAAGTCATCGGGTGTGATGAAGGTGGTCTTCAGTCGAGCGTCGTCAGCCATGGGTACTTGCCCGTACTACGAGTGAAGATCGAGAGAAGAAAAGAAATCGATCGGCTCCACGAAGGCTGTAGATCGCGTCATCAATGTGCGGCAGTGGACAAACATCTTCGTTAGTGATCTTATTGAGCCATCTGTAGTCCACACAGAACCGCAAAAAAACCATCTTTTTTCGCAACAAGAACAACAGGAGACGCCCATAGACTGTCCGAAGGCCGAAGAACGTCGCGTCGGAGCATATCGTTAACGTGCTTGTTAATTGTTTCGACGTTCAGCAGGCGACACGCGATATAGACGTTGCAGTAATGGTGGATGGACATGAGTGTCGATGCGGTGTGTAACAGCGGACGTGCGACCGAGAGAACTCCGCCCGAAATCAAAAGAACGATATTCTTGCAACAGGCCCAGAAGCTGGGAACGCTGTACTGACACAAGGTTGTCAGCAATGCAGGGCCAAATACATTAAGAGATGACGGATAAGAAGTGGAAACAGCACTGATGGTACGTGAAGTGGGACAACGCAAGTCATTGGGTACGTCCAGAACTTGTACGTCGTCAACTGGTTCCACTCAGACGAGACATTCCCCTCAAACCAAGGTAACAGTGTTGGAAAAGAAAAGAAATTAACGTGGGCAGGCTAGTACTGCAAGAGAGAAGAAGAGAAAGTGGGAAACAAGAAAGGGCGTTTGGTCTGGTTTCTTCACCGATCGACCGTTTTCTTTTACATCGTGGTGCCGAAAACCCTCGTGCAGACACGTCTGCTTCATCGCACGACTCGACGGTACCTTCTACTCGACCGTGTCGTTTTGCGGGTGGCGAGGACTGCAACGGATCGTTCCTGATCGGCGTAGGTCAGACTAGACTTCAACACTGGATTCGATGAATCGCCTCAAGACCAAGCACTCCGCTCGACGAGCCCAGAACACGAAGCTCCTGCAAGAAGCAAGGCCACTGCGAAGTGACCCTACCGCGGACAAGCCCAAGCTCACAGGTATTTATGACCGTTTGTGAGTGAGCAACAACGAGCTCTCAAAGATCAATTATGTGCTCTAGGAGCACGTAGCGGACGAGGAGATCGAAGCTGAGTATGTCGCGGCAGCAGAGTATAACGACAAAG